GCGAAACCGCGGCGACATATTATTTTGATTTACATTTGGAACTCCACGCTACTCTTATGCGTTATGTTGAGTTTGAGGTCTGGCGCCCTATGAGACGGTAAACACATGCAGCCATTTTCGAAATTCTAACTAAAAGTAGAAACTAGTTTTTTAATCGACGTCTTCCGTGGCGTTGCCGTCCTGACTGCTTAAAGTCCCTAATTAGAGCATGGGAGTTAAAGGAAAGGGTTATTTGCATCATCTTATACAAGCCATATTTCAAGGTTTTTTTTTTCGGGATCGTCCAGTTTCATCAATTGGAAAAAAAAAAAAGTTCAGAAACGTTTAAACCTCGACATCAGTATGCATATTCCGCTCCCTACTGTTCTCTATATATTTCCTAAGAGCTAACAAGGAAAATATGTTCAAGCATCAATAACATTTTTGGTTGGTGATCATTTCCTTTATTCTTGAGATCTCAATGTTGGATTCAGGGGTGACATTAAAAGGAAATGCTAGTCACTGTTACAAGTTCAAAGGCTGACCACCAAAGAGGTAACAATAAAATGGAAGGAAAGACTGTTAAGGAAGCTGATAAGATTAAAACAGATTGCAAATGATTTCTACTTTGGGGGTTTTTTTTTCAAATTAACCATGTCGTCCCTGTTGCCTTTTGTTTTGTATTAGCTCTCGGTAACGCCCCTAAAACCAAATAATAAGGAACAGTGATAAACAGCACTATTTAAAGTTAACCGTCAGTATAAATCAAAAGAAATATTTTTTAGGACTTGGATTCATAGTTTTGCAACACAATAATGATGGAATGTCTGAGCCGTACAAATCCATCTTTATATCTGAAACGACCGTGATGAAGCTGGTGAGAAGATTCACAACACATGTGAGATCTAAAAGGAGATTGATATTTCTTGTTTCTTAAACTTAAGACATTGCGTGTTCAATGGTGAGGTCAGGTAAGTGCCACCTTGAAGATTAACGCCGTTGACAGATTAAAATTGCAGCCGATCACACCTAATCCCGGAAAAAGAAACATTCTTGACTGTTTTACTCCTTTCCGAAATTAATAGCTCATCAGTCTAAGAGTGTAAGAAGAAATAAGATTATTTTGTGACGTCACACAAGAGTGCCTCTCTTTTCGATAAAGACTGTTGAATAGTTACGTTCGAGTTTCCACTCGAACAAATTTTATTTTAAGTTCATGATTGGCTATTTGAGGGTCCCAAGAGATTATCTCCTCTTGTGACCTCTTGAGGGTCCCTATGGGATTAACCGAGCTTGCGGTACGGACATCTTTACTCTACAAGTTCGCGATCGCCAAGTAGGCCGGCCATGTTCGATTTAGAGTTAGAATGAACGGCGCGGGGAGGAGGCTGGGAAAGCTCTATTGCCCCGTCCCCTTCCCCCCCTTTCCTTCCTTTTGATCATCGCTCACCCCTTAGTACAAATTCCTTTCCTTCCCAGCCTTTCTCAGCGGTAGAATTCAAAGATAGCGGCTCTAATGTTCATCAAGAAATACTGAGCATTAACGCGCCAAAATTACGCGTGCTCTGCAAGCTGTGTTAACCGTGAGACGTTAAATGGACCAACGTTTAGCCGTTACGCATTTTACCGTTGGTCGAAAATTCCCCCCTATTTTCCACGATGTATAATTTTGAAAATATCAAAATCTTGGACTGTGATCGTGTCTCGCGGCTAACGCAGTTCTATCTTGGTATAAAATTCGAAAACAAAGACATTTGGCTCAGTTCCCTAAAGGTTACTGCACAGGGGGCCCAGACAAGCGACGAGTCTAGTTGTTTATTCGAAAAATAAAGGAATGTATGGGAGAATATTAAAGAGTCTTATTATCGTAAACTTATAGCATGAAATGTCTGAGTTAAAGCTCAAAATAAATGTAAACCTACCTCACTTGCTTGTTTACGATTATAATAAGACTCTTCAATATTCTCTCATACATTCCTTTATATTTCGAATAAACAACCAGACTCATCGTTTGTCTGGGCGCCCTGTGTGAGTTTGGTGGACCAATTGTAATCCCTAAGTCTCTTGTGAATGGAATGGTCGGGCACAGTCAAACCTTGTGGAGACTGGGCTTAGTAGTCTGAATGTAAAATATGTCTTGAACCGTTAATGAGCCATGGATAAAACTGAAAGATGATATGCACCATTTAGTCAATATTATGCAAGAATTAGTATATAGAGTACATTCTCAAATCATTTTGTGTCAACTGTGAACATTAAATATGCATTGCGTAGTTACAGTCATGTGCTTGTTGGTTATGAATATTGAATATGATGTAAAGGCAACACAGGAAAAAGGAAGCAATTTGGTATTTGATGAAGATAACTTTTTTGGTCTTAAATCATATCTTTGTGTATTGATTGTGGGTGTTTTTATTATTCCAGGTCAAGGTGTTTTTCAGCCACAACCTGCCCCTCCTAGAATTGTAGGTTTCTTTGAAGGGAATTTGATTGAGCCAGAAGTAGTTAAGTCTGGCA